CCCCGCCGCTCGTACGCCACCAACCCCTCGTAAGCACTCCCAGTGTCACTAAAGAAGCATCTTCAGTCGCGCCGGTCATCCAGAGGCCGCCGGGACCGCTTCTACCGGACGGGAAAGCTGCTACACCCCCCTCGGGCAGCCCGAAGCAGCTCCAGCATTACGCGGCGCCGGTCCTGGCCATCTCCCAGCACCATGTGGTCCAGCAGCCCATCCAGCCCCAGCCACAGCAGCCCCTGCAGCACCCGGGAGCGCCCCCGCAGCTCGGTGCTCTGAAGCTGGCTCCAGCAGAAGACGCCAAACCAAACGAGCAGAAGAAGAGACCTGGAGGGTGAGTGCCCCTTGTGTGTGGAGGCTTCTGAGAGGGACCAGACAAAAACGATGCCGAAAGCTGCATCGACCTGGAGCAGCTACTGCTTTTGCAAAGAGTTGTCAGACCAGAAACACCAAGATCCGTGGATGTTTGGATGTCTGTTTTTTTGATAGCAGGGTTTCTTAGCTTGATGTTTTTTACTTTTCCCCCCTGACTACACACTGTAGGATTCTGTACAAGGATTTCTTTTTCTAAGCCAGAACTGTCTTAGGAAGCAAGTCCCAGCACTGCCTGTCTGATCTCAGGTGGCATCTGGTATTATGCTTGGCAAAAGATCTCTGCTTATACTGGTCAGGGAAGTCGTGCAGCAGTGCTGCTTGCAGGAACTTTCTTGAAAACTGGGATGTGATCTGGGAGGTTTTATTTCCCAGGACAGAGATCACCTTAGCTGCTGTTTCCATTTCTTAGTGCTGTAAGTGCTAAGGGCCTCCTGCTTGCTCAGAGCTCCTGCAGCTGGAAGGGACTGAAGGCTGATTAATCTGTCCCCACCCTTGGACAGGACTTGTGACTCTGATGTTGCTCCAGGTTAGTGTTTGTCTAACTTGTTCTTAAGGACTTTGTCTGGTGGAGACTCTGTCTTCTCCTTAGGCGGTTGTTTCCAGACCACAGTATCCTAATGCGTAGTCTGGTGTTATTTCTTGTGGACTGGGAGAACAAATTGTTCCCTTCTTTGCAGCAGACTTTTACCTGTTTCCCTTGGCCCCTCGGTCTTCCTTCCTGCAGGATAAATGGACTGGATCTGTTCAGTTTTCCCTCCTGGCCATGTTGCCTGGACCTCTGACCATTCTCCCCACTGACTGCAGCTGGCAGGTAACTGCTGGCAGTGGTGTTTAAAATGGTATGCGGATGCAGCGGAGGTTGGGTGGACAGTCGCTCTGTGTGTCTCGCCTGTTCAGCGCAATAAGGCAAACGTACCCCTGATTTCAGGGCAGGGGTGGGCGTCGGGGTGGGGTTCAGAGGAGATGCTGCCAGATGAAATGCCGACTGGAGTCCCGCTCTTGCCGTGTGGCGTAGCGGCGGCAGCCTTGTCCCGCTCCAGCTTGGCTCAGGCTGCGGTGCTGAGGTAGACCCAGCAGAGCTGGAGGCGCTGCTAGTCGCTCCGGTCCACCCAGCCTAAACAAGTGCTAGCACAGGAGAAAGACAGAACGCGGTCCTTCCTGGGGTGGGGACCTGCTCGGGAGAGACGTGTTGCCCAGGTCAAGATCTGGCCTTGCCTTTTGCTCCCTCCTGGATGGAGCTCAGTACTTTGAGTCTATCAGAGGGTCAGGACGTGGCAGTTCACTTTCTTTTGCCCGGGTCCTCTGGTCCTTGCGGCGTTTACTCTGAGCTGTAACGCAGAACCGCTGTAACCCAGTTGTCAGAGGAGCACAAGCGTGGCGCTGGGAATCGGTACTGACCTTCCCTGTGAACGGCCTCCGTGAAAGGAGTGGTAGTTTCAGTGTCATCTCGCGGGGGCAGGAGGAGATGTAAGATACAGTGGACAAAAAAAGGGTTCATAGTGTCTTTTGGGATGTAGAGATCCCAAAATGCATAGAAGGAAACAGCAAAAGTAATGTAGATAAGAATTTGTAAAGATAATGGCCTCTGTAAAATGCCAATATAATTCCTCTAAGATAGATTGTGATCTTTAGAGATTGTCTATAAAATGGAGAGCTGCAGAAACGATAAGTATATTTGTGGTTTAATCAAGCGGGTCTGTCGCTGACGTTGTTATGTGGGTTCAGGTGGGTGTAAAGGGGTTTCCAGTGGCAGGGGGTACTGGCGAAGGCTGCGGGGAGTTCTGCTGTCTAAGCAGCAGCTCTGCGGGCAGAAGGCAGTGGGGTGGCTGTGGCTGCACCGGCAAACTGCACTATACCGTCAGCTGAGCTTTGCTCCTGGGAAGTTGGGAGGGCTGTTATCCCGGTGCAAATGCAGCATCACCGCTGCATCTGTGCCCGCAGTCAGAGCGTTTTCTGTGCAGGATTTCTAGAGTTTTTGGCATAGACGGATGAGAAAACTACCTTTCTGATGCTGAGTGAGTTGCAAAGATTTCCTGAAGTGCATTTTGATGGCATACCCCAAGGTGCATGCTTCTTGTCTCCCCAGAATTACTCCTTTAGATGTAAGCACAGAAAAGATGTTTTTTTCAGCTTGTAAATGTTTCATGGGAAAAGGCTGTCAAATATTTTTTTAAACACCTAAATGTTTATTAAATATTAACATTCTTTCTGAAATGCTCACCTCAATGTGAGTGTATTTTCAGCCAAAGGCAAATAATTACTTTGCATAGTGTACAGAAGAGATTTGAAATCTCCACTTGTCTACTAATGCACTTTATCACCACAATAGCTAAAAACTAAGATAACGTGAATTTGATTGGCCTTTCCTAAAAGTATTCCTGTGATTCGGAGGGTAGGGACAGACCAGAACCCTAAAAAATGGAAGCTCACCCTGGTTCTTCCTTTAGCAGTGACTGGAGGATTCCTGGATTACTTCATTCCATATTTATGCTCAGCTGTGTTGTTTCAGGCACAGTGAAAAACTAAAGCGGTTTGAAGTATGTCTGCCAAGTCCCGTACACTTTAATTTGAAACCGCATAAATCTCACCCCACTGGAGTGTAGGCATAGTTCAGAAATGGGTCAGAATCGTGGCTATCTGGTACTGTATAAATACGTACAGTTCATACTTTGTGTCTTTCCCTGTTAATGATAGTAGCTGTGTCTCTGTACATACACACACGTCGCACTCCTGCCTCTTTGTATCTCGTGTGCAGTATATGCGTAATGCTTATCCCCTCTAATATGCATGTAAAGTATGGGTTTTATCTTGATACAGTATAGGTAGAAACATACACACAACTAGCATTAAAACAGTGGTATCTGAACACCTTAAATTTCTATTTAATACTTACCTCTCTGTCCTAGACACACAGACACTGCTGAAAGTACAGGTTGAATGGCAGTAGTTTTAAACCTGACACTGAGTTTATCTTTGTTCTGTTTGGGTTACAGGGTTGGGACCAGGGAAGTACATAATAAATTGGAGAAGAACAGGTGCGTAGAAAGCCAGGGGTTTGGTTTCTTATTGTAACTCCCCTTCCTTTTTTTTTTTCTTTTTTGCCTATAGTCTGTTAATATTTGTTTGGCTTTGGTGGATTTTTGTTTGTTTGGGCTTTTTTTAACAAATAACCTGACCAAAATTCTTAGTGATTTTTAATGAATCTTGCTATATTGCTTTGCTTTCTTATAGCTCAATTCTGCATCTCTTGCTTCCCAGAATGTTTTACTTAACTGCATAATTGCGTTACAATAACCCTGCAGAGCCCTGATCCCGCAAAGTAAATCTCCACGTGCATAACGGTTGTAACTTCTCTTTTGATTTAAAGTCATAAACTAGCCAAGGTCAGGGGCCGGTGTATAGTGTGAATACAGAATAAAGACCAGTTCCTGATCCAAAACTCTTAGAAGTCTAACTAGCTATATTGAAAATACAGTAAAAATGGGAACTGCAGCACAGGGAGATGAGATATTGAATTTAAGATTGCACAAGGGTTTGTTAACAAAGCTAGGACTGGAATCCAGGCATTACAAGCCACAGCCCCATAGTCTTTCTGCTGGATCGAGCTGGGTCTGTTGTAAGCACGCAGGTGGTCTCAGCGACTGCTATGCACATGTGTAAGTGCTTTGCTGGATTAAGGCCCGAATTAAGCTCTACCCCTCTGCTAAACTGATTGCTGGTGTGTGCTCCCACGAGCTGACAAACCACCTGTGTTTTCTTTAGACGTGCACATTTGAAAGAATGCTTTGAGACATTAAAACGCAACATCCCCAATGTAGACGACAAGAAGACCTCAAACCTCAGTGTCCTAAGGAGTGCCTTGCGATACATCCAGGTATGTATAGCGTTCGGGTGACTGTTGGCTGTCATTGTATGGTACTTTATCTACTGAAACAAGAGAACAGTGCTGTCCTTGCTTAGACCTGTAGTGCAAAGGAAAAAGGGGAGAGGAAAACTTCCATTCCCCCTTCTCCCTCCGTGCAAGTCTAGTCCTTTATAAACTCCAGATTTTCATCATATTTGGATCCTTGCTTCATGCAATCTCCTTGTACTAGAAGTTCCTAGTTAACTGCAAGTCATCTGTGCCACTGATGGTGATGCAGTTAAGGTGACTTTCACCTTCTTGAGCAGATAATTCAGATGATCTTAAAAAGGGACATCCAGGCTATATAACTTAAGCTGCTCCTTTTTGGACTAAGGTGAATTTTAATCCATAGGTGTTGGTGAGGTTTTCTGTTTGCTTAACCAAAACAGATTGACTTCCGCAGAGGTTTTGAACATCTCAAATTTTTGATGAGACGGAGACGTAAGTACAGGTCCTTTGCTTGGAGGCAGGGAAAGACTGGAATTTGGGATTGCAGCATGGAGCTCTCGGTGGAGGAGGTACCAAGAATGAGTCTGGGAGAAAGTAAAGATAAAATTCGGTTGTGGTGTTGAGTGAAGTAAGTGTTAAGTGTTTGCTTATTGTTGTTTATCTCATATTTGACACTGTCAGCAGTTTTGTCAACTTTGTGCATTGACTTGTTGTTATCCAGCATGTTTTCCGTATTTAATATTTGTGAAAGTGGTTTATGGTAGCACAAAAGAGGTTCTTAGAGATGTCCTCTGTGACTGTGAAATCAATAGCATGTAATACAATTAAAATTCATCAGGAAAATGGAAGAGTTGCTAAATTTGTAGTGCAAATGAAGCGAGTGAATAGACCTCATACATTTTGGCTGGAATAAAGGGTGCTGAGAACTGTTAACACTGGGCTTTTCCACAGCAAAGCGTCCTCTTTTTTCCTCACTTTCTTCCCATTTTCCTCCGGCTCTCTCAAATACCATTTCATTCCTATGTTCAGAAGTACTGGAGGTTGACTACTTGCGTCTGCTTTACTTTGGAAAGTCAGTAATTACTCATCACCCCTCAGAATTAGACCGGCACCGGTTAGTCTTCGCCGGTGACTTCTCTTGCAGAGCCTTTGGCTGGGGCAGGTTCTAACAGTACCCAGCCACTGGAGGATAGCAAACAAAAGGGAAAAAAATCCATGTTGCTTAAGAGGTCATTTTTGGACATGTGGTTGTATTGAAGCCTAATGGGCATTAGAAAAGATCTGAGCCTTTCATTTGATTTCAGGCAGGCTGGTGTCGGTAGAGATGAGCTTCCATTAGCAGTAAGGGAGACGGAGCGATGTGATCACCTGCTCTCGTGTTCGGCGGTTGAGTGTGGAGTCGGGATGTCACGAAGGGAGCTGTTTCTGGCGTGGTGGCTGACGCTCTATGAATATTGATGGAGGTGCAGACCTATCCATGAGCAGAGACTGCTCTCCAGCAGCGTTTTTATTCTGTGCTTTTGGAAGACAGCTTTAAATCCTCTTTGAGGATGTCAGTGGGGATGGCAGATTCTTCCTCTCCCTCTTCTCGGGGTCCGCTCTGAAATGCTTTGAGCCTTAGAAGCAATGCAGTTTTGTGCTACCTACAGGCATGTGTACCAACACCTCTGTAAATTGCTAGGAAATAAACTCTCATCACATTCTAGTAGGAAATGTAAACTAGTTTTATGACGGTGCAGAAAACGTATTCACAGATTCAGAACCACGTTTTGTTTCCTTTAAGTGTCTGCCACTTGGAGGCCATTTCAGTGCCGCCTCTGCGTTGCTTTTCCTGGCATGGATTCATTCTGGGGGTCGGAACGGCTGGGATCAGGTCTGTCGACCCGACTGCCCTGGTGTGCCTGCGCTGGTCTGCGCACTCACGGTCTGGAGCTGAGGGGGGTCTCGGGGTGGTGTAATTGCGGTGTATTCGGTCACTCAGTGAAGTGAAAGTGCAGAAGTTCTGACAGTTAACATTGCAATATTTGCATCCTGGTTTTGAGGACCGTCACAGCAGAGGTCACTGTACCTGCACACCTCTGGTTTAGGTGCTGTGCTGCCTGCGTGCACCACAGGTGCCGTGGATTGTGGGAGGAACTGCTGCGGTGACTCCTCTCGGGTGTGCAGTGCCAGTGGCAGCGTCTCAGGAACTCGCCAGGCGCCCGCGTTCCCTCTGGCCCAGCGTCGGGGAGCGCGCAGGGCACAGCCCTCCGCTTCTCCCAGCAGCTTCAGCACAGAGAAATTGCGCTCTTTTGTCCAAACGTTTCTCCTGTCCAGACATCTCTCCACCTTCCCACTCGTAGGTGGCCTTAACGGAGCTGGTTTGGTGGTGGGCACGCGGGTCTGGATGCTGAGCCGGCCGGGATGGGGTGCGGGGGCAGCCGGCAAAGGCGCCGGAGGGG